TAAGAGCGAATAAGAGGAAGGAGGGCCGAAAAGGTGGAAAACTGGAGTGCAACTGGTTTGGCCCTTATGTGGTTTCCTCAATCACCAACAAGGGTGTGGCAACCCTGTTGAGCTCAACAGGAGCTCAGCTGAGACAGAGTGTGAATGTGTCTCAGCTGAAGCCCTTTATCAGGCCTATGTTGAGAGGTATTTTGATTATCAATACAAGGACACATTTTAGGTATACTTCATGTGTGGTACTTCAATAATACTGTTTATTTTGTGTCTATCTAATAACAGCTGAACCGAAGTTGGATTCGGAGGGGTCTGTTGCTGACCACCAGTATGCCCTCTCTGGTGCGAAATACGCAAAGGATCTACATCCGATTCAAGACAAGCTGGTAGATATATGTTTACTTCATGCACAGTGATGGAGGTGCATTGTTTTGATTTTAATTTTTCTATGTTTTCTATTGGCTTGAAGTATGTTTTGCAATCTGTTATTTGCAGCTCAGCTATGTGCTAGACCACAATAGGCCTGGAGCAGAGGTCATTGTGAAGGAGGGTGATGTGTGCCTGACCAGAGAGGACTTTTGGAGCCTGGGTCTTCCTCAGTGCATGGAGTCAAATGTAGGTATACTTGAGCTTTCCTCCCAACTTCATCTTGTCTCAAATAAATGGCACAGGTAACTTACTGTTGTTACTGTTTCAGATTGGAAACACGTGCCTGAAGATGGTACAAGAAGCCACCCAAAGACATGTACGGTTTTCAACAGACATCATTGGCCTGCTTTTTTCTTTTGAATAACACATATTTTCTAAATAGCTGTTTAGTGGTGAAACTCCAATCTCGTGAAGTGTGGTTGTCTCTTGTTGTTGAACATACTTCTATGAAGATTTCATTTTTTTTGAAAAACTATCAATATAGGGCAAAGATATATACATCGTGGATATGTATGTGGTTCCTACCTGGAAGTCCAAAACAGCTGACGTGTTGGCCAGTTTTCCAGTAAGTTCCTGTTGCTTGAGACCTATGTTTCTTGAAATTGATATACAGCAACTTAAAATCCCTTGTTTAAAATACTAGGCTGACCAATTGGCCACCAAGGACATGGTTTTCATCCCTGCCTGGAGTCGGCAGCAAGGAAAGGCAGATCACTATTTGCTTTGCGTGAGTCTGTTCCAAATGATCTCACCAGCATGTACAAAATGAACATAAGTTGTGCTGTGTGGTTTTCTTCTGGTGTTTGATTATGTCTAATTTCAGCTATTTTGTCAATGGTTGACAGGTGATCAAGCCAGCAAAGAGAGAGTTATATTTGCTCGACCCTCTTAAGCCAGATGGCTTTGGGGACAATTCCTACAAGGACATATTTAGGTTTTTGTAACATGATTACCCCCTCACCGTTCTGTGGCTTGTATGGGAGTTCTAAATAGTTTATAGTATTCTAATACTGCAGTAACCATCTTGTAGACCAGGGGTCTGAATCTGATCAAATTCATTTATAATATATCTCCATTTCCACAAAGTCTGGAGTGTCCTTAGTGGAACCAAAAGAAAAAGAGTCTGCAACAGGATGCTATGAATTATAATATTCATTTTGTTATAAGCCTTGTTCAAAGGTTGTTTTCAAGTTCAGCTTTGTTCAGCGGCTGGTAAACGTATTTTTGTTTGTTTTATTTTAGCCCCGTTCAGTGGCTTTCATAACTTTCCTCTTTTAAGGCATGCAATAGTTCAATGTAAGGAAATCCAAAAACATGAATTATATTGTGTATAGCGTTCCTTCACCAAATCAATTCCCATGTCTTATCATTTCTTTTGACAGTGACCTAGCGCACCGCATTGCTCCAGGTCAGTGGACAGTAAAGTTCGGCAGAGACGTCAAGGTACATTTCTCCACCATCTCATACACCTGCTTTCACATGTCTTTATTTTCCATTTGACCATGAACATCACTGTTATATTCCAAATTCTTACAGGGTTTGCCTCACCAAACCACGGGCAATGACTGTGGTGTCTTCATACTGATGGTAAATTCCTCCCTTGACACTTTTTTTTAAGGGGTTTTGTTAGTTTTTGAAACTCATAACTTAACAGATCTTTATCCTTTCACAGTATGCACTCAACTTCAGCACAGATGCTCTACTTTGGTTTACCGAGGTCAGTATTTATCCTCTGAGTTAGTATTTCAGGGGGAAGAGGGGGCTAACATTGAGTAGACAAATGATGAGGTTCCATTCATTTTCAACTTTATTATTGTTACATTTTCTTTTAGCGGGACATAGCACAGATCCGGAAATGGTGGTGCATTATGCTCATGGAACGGTACCAGATTGAAGGGTAAATCATACATTTTAAATGTTACTTTATAGACAACAGTTTCTTTGACACTGATTTACATTTTCATCCTGATATTATGTGATTTTTATAGCCACGGACAGATCCAGATTATTTAACACATGCATACATATTGATAATTGTATACACATGTAATTAAACAATCACATGACCCACACCTTATATTTTCCTTCAAAGGTCCAGTTTCAAAAGTCCGACATGTGCTTCATATTGGAGGTAATATCTTTTCAGTGAAGCAGTAACTGTTTTTTGTTTAAAAAACGACCTGTGATCACGGCAGAATTTCCAACTATTATGTCTCACTGCTTTTTTTAACTTTATTGATAGCTGTTTTTTACCTCAAGGAGAAGAATAACAAAACATAAGAAAAATGTGTGTGATATATTCAACATTAATATTAAAAATGTGTCTTTTTGCTACCTGAAGCCCAAAGAATCTTGGTATTTCGATTGTGCTGGCAACAGTCTAGTCAATGTGTTGTTAAATATGTTTGATCTAGTCTGACCAATACTTCACAGCTGCCAAACTGTCTTCTCTCGGACCTTCTGATGGAAGTGGTTCTCCAGGAAGGTGACAAAGCGTACTCATCACTCACTCTAGTGTGTACCACCTTCAGAGACACAATGTCCACTGTGTCTTTCAGAAGAGGGGCCCACTTTCGCTGGCTTGAGAGTAAGTGATTCAGTGAAGGTGCAGCAGTATACGACAGCTGTGGTGTCTATGCATATTTTTAATGGCTCTATTGAAATGCTTGTTTTACACAGGTGTTGCTACATGGAGTTTGTTCTCTGCTTCATACAAGCAGGATTTCAACGTCATGTACACCATTGACACCTGCCGTGGATGCTTGGAGCCTTACAAAAACTGCAAACCAGGTAGACTTCTTATTCTGGATAATAATGTTTATGTGTCATTACATATTTAGTGTGTTGTGGTCCTAGTGTGATTCAATTACAATATTTTCTTTTTCTATTCATAGGATATGTTGGGAAAGGTAAAAGAGGAGAATTGCAGGGCATCTACTCTGATGACCAACATCCAGGCTATTGCAGTCCCTTCTGCAACCAGATATCATAGGTAAAGATTAACTCACACAAACAAATGTCAGAATAGACTAAATTGTCACTGCAATTAATGAAGATCATCATTTGATATCTTACCTTCAAGTTTGGTTTTCCCGGACGCTGCCCGTCGTGGACTTCGGGTCGTGGACTTCGGGTCGTGGCTGAACCTGTCTCTGCAGTCCTGCCTTGGGTCATGCTGCTTCCCTGATGGCTTCCTCATATATTCTGAACAATCTGTGCTGTTTTCCTATCCACATGTAAAAGGAACTAGAAGGATTTCTTGATACTAAGGGCTGTAGAGAAAAGTTTGGAGCTTTTTCCATTAACGTTGAAGTTCAAATTCTCAATAAACACTTGAATGCTGTGCTGTCTTTCTATTTACTTGAATGTGTGAATTCATTCAGTTGGGTAGGTAAGCTTGGGATGGATATATTAAATATATACATACAAAAAATTAGAGACTCTTTCCAATGAAAGTAGCTAGCCGCAATAGCTCCAAGATTGCTATATCTAGTTTGTAGGTCGCCAAGTTGGCATCATTGACAGTTCGTCTCTTAAAGCCTCTAAAGCTCTGCAACAAAAAAGGATCATTATGAATGTAAATACTATACATGGTAATGCAGCAGGGCATAGTGCGATGAGGCAGGCAGGCAGAACCAGATTTATTTCTAAATATTTGTCGATCAATATTAGGCTACACTAATATAAGGCTACTAGTATTATGATATTACTGCAATAATATTCCAGTGGTGGCTGCTTAAGGTTGTTTCTGGCTCGTTTGATCCAAACATTGTCCAAAGCTCAAAATGTATTGTAATAGATGTAAGAATTCTCAAAATGTACAATATGTTTTGATCCAACACAATATTCTGATTCAATCCATATATGTTAGGGGTTTTTTTTTCACCAAAATAAATAGACTGCCTTCTCTCCAGCTCACCGCACACAAAGGGGGGGGGGGGGGGGGGGGCATCTGTATTAACGGGTCAGTCTATAAGCACTCTAATAGCACCATAAATTACATTTAAATAACCACAAAAAGACAATTATTGTTTCCGATATTGATTTAACGAGATGCTGTTATAACATGGAAACGGCTTAATTTAAAAAAATAAGCTTCAAAAATGTTTTATGAAGCACACTGGGTACAGCCCTGTAATACATGTGTTCCGTGTGTATATAGTCTTACGCAAGAAACACATAGCATGAACAGACTGCAACAAAACCAGTCTTACAAAACAGACTTCTGCTAAACTGGTGCAGAAGCAAAGCATCTACCTTAGATGAAGTTCACACAGAACTGTGGAAAAGGGAGAACATCTGTACTTGCTTTCAACGACATGATCAGGCTTATATATTATAAAAGTGTTGGCTAAAGTAACGCAGAATATATATATTTTTTAATTGTAAATAATTAAGTACACACACATAACAAGCTGTACCGAGTTCCTCCGGCTGCAGTTCCGCAGACGGCCGGTGTGTGGCAGCATAGCGCTGGGAGCAGAGGGAGGTGAGTATATGACGGATATGACGGATGACGGATGCGACGGAAATACACCCGAACATATTTGGTAGGCCGAACATATCTGGTACTGACACCGGGGCTGATTAAGGGGAGGTAGAGTTCTTTTTGACTAGGCAGTGCCCCATCATTGCTGATGATGATCGAACCTGGTTCCCCCGGCTTTGGGAGATTCTATCTGGACTGGTGTGAGGCTGGAAGACCCTTTCTTTTGAGGGGATCGCCCTGCTCTTCGGGCCCAACTGGTTTAAAACTGGGGAAACCAGAAATGGTGCAAACAATTGGTTTTAAGTGAGTTGGCTGGTAAGTTAATTTTGATTTACAACATAACTGACTGTACAAAGTAATACAATTAATATTAATAAGGTTTAATAATAGTACAATTTAAATACTTTCCTATTGGTGCAATACCTCCTTTCGGCCACAAAGCCCATGATACTATAAATTATAAAGGTTGCAAAACCACTGATTGGCCACAACACCATTTTTTCATTTTAATCAATTTACTTCCTGGTCCTTTGAGGTATTACCCAGAAGGCTCAGGGTTTAATTATTTGACTTTTAATAAGGGATTAAAACGTATTTGACAAGTACAAACTTACATATGTCTTTATAAATAACCTTTTTACTAATATCAGAGAACAAGATAGTATCATAAAATATCACTTTTTCAAATTAAATAAAAATTACACCATAACTGACTTTACAAAGCAATACAATTTATATTAATAAGGTTTAATAATAGTATAATTTATATACGTTCCTATTTGTACAATATCTCCTTTCGGCCACAGAACCCATGGTACAAATAATTATAAATGTTGCAATACCACTGGTTGGTCACAATACAATTTTTCATTTTAATTAAGGTACTTCCTGGCTTAAGATGAATAAGGTTTAATAATAGTACAATTGATATACTTTCCTATTGGTTCATTCCATACTTCTAAAGTAAGAACAACTTAACCCAGTCTATCTCTCTTTCTCTTGCTCACTTACCTACCAGTCCTTTTCCCCTAGTTGGGATCTTTTAGAAAAAAACACAACACCAGGTCCTGATCAACCTGGGGTGGCCCTCCTGGAGTAGGGTGTCTAGTGATAATGGCTGAAACCCCCTGTGACCTCCAGGTTCATTACTGACGATGTGTTCCAACCAATATAAAGGACTATTTTGTTCCCCAAATACTTCTATTTGGGAGTACAAAAAAACTACTGACTATTTTTCACTAGGGCTATGGAACTATTTGTTAGTTCCATAATCTTTAAACCTAACTGCTCTGACTACTGGTCTAATCTAATACAAATCTCCATAAAAAGCGTATTCCTTCTGTCTTCAGGCAGAGATCTAACCGTTTAGTGTGGCTAGTGTGACCACTCAAAACACACACAGCGTATTCCTCCTCTCTTATAGCAGACCACTAAGGAGGTGAGGTTAATGTTCCTCTATTTTTCAGCAATAAATGTAGCACCTTACCTTTAATCCTACCCCTAAACTTAACCACTCAGACTTAATGCCTAAACTTAAGTTAGTATCCATCAAACAGTGCACCATCTTATCCTTTATTTGACCTCTAAACATAACCGCTCTGACTGCTGGTCTAAATCTAATATAAATCTCCATAAAAAGCGTACTCCTTTTGTGTTTATACAGATTACTTACCGTTCATTGTGACTAATTTGACCACTCATTACAAACAGCGCATTCCTTCTGTATTTATACAGACTTCTAACTGTTCATTATGGCTATTTTGACCATTCACTACAAAAAGCGTACTCCTTCTGTTTTTATACAGACTACTCAGCATGGGAGAATAATAATCCTCCATTTATCAGCAATAAATGTAGCACCTTATCTTTAATCTTACTCCTAAGCTTAACCACTAAGACTTGATGCCTAAACTTAAGTTAATATCCATCAAACAGTAGACCTTCTTATCCGTATTGTTATCTCTAAACCTAACCACTCTGGCTACTTATCTAATCCTAAAATACATCTCCACAAAGAGCTTTCTGACTCTCAATTAAAACCACTAAAATTAACTCATGGTACACTCTTAACTAAATATCAAATAATAGACCATCTTCAGTCTAACTGCAGACTATTTTGTTCCCTAAGAAGACCAGTTTGCCTTTAATCTGACCATTAACCTGGATCACTTTGGCTCTTTGCCTAAATCTAAACCACATTCTCTCTCCACTTTTTCATTCTGCTCTTCCAACCCCTTCTGGTCCGAGCCTCCTTGGGGGTTAACGAAAGGAAACGGGTTATAAACAGATACGGCCAAAGCGGCAAGGGGTGGCATCCGCGGTAACCCCGCTACCCTCCCCCGTGTCTCTGTCCTTCAAGCTTAAATTACTCTGTCTACTTCACCTTTACACACCTATGATTCAGTCATGATGCTGAGCTAGAGCATGAGCCGACAATGCCTCTAGTGCGCGTGCCTCTCCTTGGATCTCTGTATAACCATGAAGTCGTCGGGCGACATGGGGAGATCTGGTGGCTTTTACCTAACCTAACCCTAACCCCTAACCCTTCCGCAGCAGATAGGCTGCAGCATGGTGTCTGTTATGTCAGTTATTTTAAATAAAACGTTGAAAACTGAACTTGAAAATTGTTTCCTCTTTTGATTTTCTTTATTATTTTCGGGACGGGGAGACGTGTGTGATAAAAAATTAATTTGCAGAAATGTAAAGTGATCTAACTAATTGATATTCATACAGTATTCTTGAGCTGTACTGTGATCTGCATGCACTTATCAAACATTTAATTAAAGTAGGCTAGTGAGGGGGTCCAAAATCAGCCAATGTGCTTTTGTTTTTATTACATGAATTAAGGTGATTGAGGCTTTTTAACATAGACTTTTCAGTGAAAACTTAACTTAACTTGAAAATAGTTTCCTCTTTTTATTTTCGGGGTGGGGAGACGTGTTTGATTACAAATTAATTTGCAGAAATGTAAAGTGATCTAACTAAGTTATATTCATACAGTATTCTTGACGGGAAGAGCAGTGTAAATGGGTGGCCACATGCATTTGAAAAGCAATATAAATCACAGTTATTATGCAATAGGCTTTAAAAGCACCATCGATTACCTTTCTCCAATTCAAACTCTTGACGGGAAAAAAGGAAGGTGTAAATGGTTGGGCTAGACTGTACTGAATACATACAAAAGCCATTCAATAGACCTTCAATATATAGTATTTGTTTATTAGTCCCGGGGGGGAAATGGGTAGCAGCACATCACAGAGGCATTTAAAAAGTTAAGACAATACATTCTGGAAATGTTCACATCAGGCACCTTCAAGTTAAACAATACTACAGTAAACAATTAATACAGTAAATTATGTGGATTAAATCACATTTATTTCGTTAAAAATAAACGAAACAGTATAAATACACTAGATATCCACAGCAGCCCAGCCTGTGAGCAGTATGAACACCAATGAGCGCTCAGCTCGAGATACCAGCGAGTCGAGAGAGAGAATGATATCTGCATTTTCTCTTTTGGTTTGATTAGGACACATCCTGGGGATTGTGTTTACAAACATTGACCAGACCGTTCACCAGCCCCCACCCCCCATGTTGCCTATGCTGTCCTGTGTTGCGAACTCTTTGTTTAAAACGAATTGGCCATCGGAATGTGTGGAGGAATTCTCCCAAGGGTCACATTCCACAGCTCTCCCCCCTCCTGTGATCTCCCATCCCCCAGTCTGTAGGTTTGTGTTTGCATATTTCTATCCCGTAATTCATACTGGTCCTCTCACGCACATACATTCTCCTTACAGTATACATACATAGGCTATATGAGTCCGTGTATCTACGGACCATTTGTTTTTCTTTATTAAACAAGTTAACGGAAGAGCGTCTGAGAGGCGTTTTTGCCCTTTTGCTTGTTACCTTACTAAATGGTCTAATGGTCAGTGGAGCGAGGGGGGAGGCCCGCGAAACTCGCGGAAGTGATTTCAAAACAAAAAGCACTTGTTTGCTTGGAACAAAGAAAACGGCCAAGACACACATTGAGTCCAGAAAATGAATGTTATTAAGGGCTGTAAATATAATAAGCCTGTGTCTAAAATTGACAACAGGCTTATTATATTTACAGCCCTTAAGATACACTTTTGTGTTTAACAGCTGACCACTACCATGACATACTTTGTTTTAGTAGATTTCGCATGAGAGCAAAATGTATAAATATGAGCATTAAATTATATGAATATGAGAACAAAATGCATGAATGTGTGAGTGACAATATATGAATGTGTGCATTGAAATATGATAATATGAGAGCAAGATGTATGAATGTGTGAGTGTAAATATATACGTGTGTGAGAGTGAAAATGTATGTATGTAAAAGGAGAATATATGTGTGTAAGAGTGAAGATGTATGTATGTAAAAGGAGCATATATGTGTGTAAGAGTGAAAATGTATGTATGTAAAAGGAGAATATATGTGTGTAAGAGTGAAAATGTATGTATGTAAAAGGAGAATATATGTGTGTGAGAGTGAAAATGTATGTATGTAAAAGGAGAATATATGTGTGTAGAGTGAAGATGTATGTATGTAAATGGGGAATATATGTGTGTAAGAGTGAAAATGTATGTAAAAGGAGAATATATGTGTGTAGAGTGAAGATGTATGTATGTAAAAGGAGAATATATGTGTGTAAGACTGAAAATATGCTGCATTTTGAATGTCCGATAGTCCACCATTTCCACCGGAAATATCAAACATTTAATAAAAGTGAAAAACAATGAACAAGACTTAACGTATTCATCATAATTAATTATATTTATTTCGTTTGGATGTAGGATTTTTGACTTTGTTTAGAGCAGTGATCTTCTACTATATGAACATTTTGGACCCAAAATCACAAAAAAAACGTAAAAACAGATTTTGAAAATGATATTATTTTTCATATGTAACACAAACATACACAACGAAACCATTTCAAAGCTGGAAATATATACATGGGATGTCACTATGATAATGTGAAAGTTTGATTGAGGTAGCATGGGATTTCATTCTGATAAGGCAAAAGTGTTATTATAAATATAATACAAATATATATATATATATATACACATTATGTACAAAAATCAGTTTTTTCTGTCTTTATCTGTGCCACGCTTCAAAGCAGTTTCTGTCAATACGACACAGAGGGCAACATCACAGGTTCCTCCTCCATGTCAAAAAACAAGCTTAAAGCTTGACTCACGTTCAGAGTTCTCTTCATCATAGTTGAATCTTCAAAACTCTAAATCTATCTAACTATATCAAAATTTTCAATGTTTGTCTGTCACTTTATTTCAATCCAGTCTCCCGCCGTCTCTCTTCGTCTCCCGCCGCCTGTCTTCGTATATCTTCGTCTCTCTCATTTCCCGCCGTCTCTCTTCGGTTCCCGCCGTCCCTCTTCGTCTCTTTTCGTCTCGTTTCGTATCACTCCGTTTACCTGATTACCTCACCCCCTCCCTGGTAAATACATCCTGTTGAGCAGAATCTACAGTTTCCAGTATTTTCCGTTTCGTAAAATTATCAAATACGGCGAAGATATTAAAATATGTGCTTCCATTATTCATACTTCTGAAATATATCTGTATTAACTTTATATCATCGTATGTCCGTGTTTATTTGTGTCTGTTTATTGGGTCTTTTTGCATGAAACACAGACTGGCATATAGTTTCAAGCCAGTACTTTCGACAGAAATACACATATACATCCTGTTGAGCAGGATCTACAGTTTCCAGTATTTTCCGTTTCGTAAAATGATCAAATGCGGCGAATATATTCAAATATGTGCTTCCATTATTCATACTTCTGAAATATATCTGTATTAACTTTATATCATCTTATGTCCGTGTTTATTGGGTCTCTTTATTGGGTCTTTTTGCATGAAACAAAGACTGGCATATAGTTTCAAGCCAGTACTTTCGACAGAAATACACATATACATCCTGTTGAGCAGGATCTACAGTTTCCAGTATTTTCCGTTTCGTAAAATGATGAAATGCGGCGAATATATTCAAATATCTGCTTCCATTTTTCATACTTTTGAAATGTATTAACTTTATATCATCGTGTTTACTGGGTCTTTTTGCATGAAACAAAGACTGGGATATAGTTTCAAGCCAGTACTTTCGACAGAAACACACGGCAATGTTGTCCGGACTGTTGTTTTTATGCGGCACCGGCTTGAACAGGTCATGTGATCTGATCACGCCGGCGTGACGGTCGACTCCAAAGGGTTAATATTAAATACATATAAGTATTTTTACAACTTGTATTTAGAAATACTCTGTTGTAATTATTTATGCATAAATGTGTTCATCCATTCAATGTGGCATCTGCTATAATGGGGTTAATGTATGATATTACTTAATAATACAATACATTATAATATATGATAATTATATTTTAGTTTTATTCATTTCTTATTTCATAGTTTCTCATTATTATTATTTGTATCGCTCATCTTATTTTAGATTTTATTAATCTGTGTGAATCTGTGCTGTCCTGTTTTTCACTGTCACCCTGTTGCTGTTTGAACTACTGAATTTCCCCACGGGATTAATAAAGGTCCATCTTATCTTATCTTAATGTATAAGTTGATTTACTTCAATCTACTGTACTGTGTAAAAACACCCCAACAATATTACAAGAAATATACTGCATAAAGCAAACTATATACTTTATTTGATCTAAAATATTGATGTTTTTTTCATTATAGTAGCTTGTGAAAACCATACAGTAACAAATAAGTGATTAAATGCTACAGTATTCAGCAAAACACAACTGCAGAGCTGCAAAAATTGCAAACAGACAAAAGTTCATCAACACCCAGTTGTCTTTGTGTATTTTGTGAATGAAGCGCCATCTCATGGTTAAATTCTGTAATTGAACAAATGGGGAAATTGGGCAAGGCCCTCTAGCAATTTGGCAACACCCCCAGCCGCTGGCATCCGCTGGGCTTTTGACTGGGACACACCCATCTGAGTCTGATCTGGAGTGCTTCATCTGTAGCCTGTGTCCTGTGAAATAGCCTGTTTGTCCATGTCAAATCTTGCTATTAATTGATAACTTTTAATAGAAATCTCTGTTTGACATATGTTCAGAATGTGCTATTTATTCAGAAATAACACATTCTGAATGTGTCCTGAAGGAGTGAAATAATCAGAGTGCCATGTCAGGGAGCGATGCTGGAGCTGCTTAGTCCGCCATTTGGGGCTCTGTGAGCCGCCACAGAGAGGTGCTTTTCCTGGTGTATTTCATGGAAGTCTGACATAGCCTGTTTGCTCATGTAAGGAAAAGGTCTGCCTTATGGACAGAGTTAACATGGGACTTGTCCTTCAAATGTACACATGTCCGCACAATGGAAATGTGATGTCAACTTCCAATGCAAAGTTCCTGCCACCGGCAGGACAAATTTTACCAACTGTAAACCAACACTTGGGGGTGCTCTATGCATGTGTCTGAGGGTAAAATAATCATCATTCTGTATATAAATATGTTTGTCAATATCATGGACATTTCCTTTTAAATTGGGGTCCACGAAGCTGACACAAGATACCCGCAGATAAGCACTCATCTCGGACTAAAATCCTCAATGCATAGCAGTTTTAATGGCATTTTTGTTATTCATTGTTACCAGGGGCACGAACTTCTGACCGGTGTTACCTTGTTATGAACTTGGTTACACAAGGATAAGGACTCAAATGCACGACCCGGGAGCCAAAGGTAAAGTACAATTAAGATACTTTATTTGCACAAAAAAGGTAACAAAAGAAGATCACTCTTAAGAGATGACAAAAAAGGTTTGAGCAAGGCAAAACAGAAAATCACTCACAACGTGAGGAACTAAACTTATAATAAGTTTCAGGAGCCAACATAGGCTTTGAATCAAAACGAGCTGAAGAGCATAGCTCTGTCATGAGGACAGGACAAGACGAACTGACACTGAACGCTGGGAGACTGGGGAATTTAAACACTCAACAACAAGACACAGGTGAACACAATCAGGGGCGGGGCTGATACTGATGAGGGCGGGAGAACACATCAATCAATCAATGTTTATTTATATAGCCCAATATCACAAATGTTACATTTGTCTCAGCGGACTTCACAATTTGTACAAAAATATCAGTATGACAATTAGTGTTAATTTCGTCAGCTATTTTTTAATTTAGTTTTAGTCTTAGTCCTGTGTTAAATTTCCTTTTTAGTTTTAGTCATATTTAGTCACCTTCATCCTGTTTTTATTTAGTCAAGTTTTAGTCGACTAAAAGTCTGAGCATTTTAGTCTTATTTTAGTCGACTAAAACAGTAAACATTTTAGTCAAGATTTAGTCGACTAAAAGTCTGAGCATTTTAGTCTTATTTTAGTCAAAGAAAACTAATTATTTTAGTCTACTTTTTGTCAATAAAAACTGTTGAGTATTTTTTAGTCATCAGATTATATAGAACATTTCAGTCAAACTAGTCTAGCCAAAACCAATAATTTGTCATTTTAGTATGTATAAATAAATAAGATTATATCTTGTCCTTATTTGATGAAAAACACAGGTTGAATGATTAAGCAGCTTTGCAGAGAGTATCTGCTCAGGTTTGTGGTGTTTTTACCAGCTGTGTTTTGGCCACATTGCTTCCCTTCTGATGAAACAATGCATTCGCTTTTTTTCTCCGCCTCATTGTAGCGAAAATGGGCCCAAATATCACATCGTTTCTTTCTCCCAAGCAGTGGTGGCTTTAGACTTTTTCGTTGTCAGTCATTTTGACGGATCGTAACATTTCCGTCATAATCCATTATTAACCGTCGAGTGCACAATTTATCAATCACTCGCGCTGACGGGGGGGTATTCGGTTAACGCGAGTGCGACCACTGCTCCCAAGCCCTGTTGCCATTTCATTTTCTGTTAAATAAGGTTAGTTAGACCATGAGTTAGACCCGAGTCTTCCTGACAGTTCACAGTGTGCCGCTGCCCGGTGTAATTCAAATCTACCGCCGCGCGCAGCACAGACACATAGCTGCTGCCCTGCCGCAGCCCCGGAAATGGAACTGCTGGGAGAAAAACTGACTATCAGAGATGTAACTTTATCTTTGATAATATTTCGTCTCCTCATTTTTCGTCAACGAAAGTAAAGAGAGATTTTGGCATAGTTTTTATTTAATGAACTACATTTTCGTCTCGTCACTTTTCGTCAACGATATTGCATGATGATTTCGTTACAGTTATTGTTTACTGCCGTCGGTGCCGTCTCGTCATCGTCTGGTTTTCGTCATGGAAAAAAAGGTCGTTGACGAACATATTTCGTCATAGATTTAGTCAACGAAATTAACACTAATGACAATATGACACCCTCTGTCCTTAGACCCTCACATCGTACAAGGAAAAACTTCCGAAGAAAACCCACAGTTTAAAGGGAAAATGGGAGAAACCTCAGGGAGAGCAACAGAGGAGGGATCCCTCTCCCAGGACGGACAGACGTGCAATAGATGCCGTGTGTAAATTGAAAAGATAATACATTTGCAACATAGGTAGTCCAAATGTTTGGAAATGCTTGTGTGTATAATAGGAAGATGAATCCACAAGGATATCCATCCAGGACCTATGATCCAGGACCACAGCCACGACTCAAGATCCAGGGTGCGCGATGCAGGACACAGGACCGCAGGATCATCCATGACTCCGGATCCCAGCGTATAGAGACACCAAAAAGAAAGACATTTGGGGAACCTGGGTTAATGGGAACATGAGAGTACACAGGTATAGACAGAGAGAAGGAAGAAGTAAGATGTCCCCCGACAAACTAAGCCTATATCAGCAAAACTAGGGGCTGAATCTAATCAGCCCTAACTATAAGCTTTATCAAAAAGGAAGGTCTTAAGCGCACTCTTAAAAACGGATAGGGTGTCTGCCGCCCGAACACAAACTGGAAGCTGATTCCACAAATGTGGAGCTTGATAAGAAAAGGCTCTGGCTCCCATTGTACTTTTAGAGACTCTAGGAACAACCAACAACCCTGCATTCTTGGAACGCATTGCCCTAGTAGGACAGTAGGGTATAATGAGTTCTTTAAGGTAAGATGGCGCCTGCCCATTAAGGGCTTTGTAGGCGAGAAGAAGAATTTTAAATTATATCCTGTGTTCTATAGGGAGCCAGTGTAAGGCAGCCAGAACAGGAGTAATGTGGTCCCTTTTCCTATCCCTGGTTAGTACACGAGCTGCAGCATTTTGAATCAGCTGAAGCCACTTGACTGACTTGAGGAAAGGGAGTCAAGGGACCTGAAATGAGACGTGACAAAAACAAAACAGGAAGTGAAAAACAATACAAAATAAACATGAAACATGATTGACTAGCACTTTTGACGGTGCACAACATCCCTCTTGGTTTAGTCCGTGGGGGAGTGCTTCAGTGTGGGTACACAGGTTCGCCTGGTGCACAAGGTTATGGAGGTGGGGGTCTTGCTTGTGCTCAAGTGTCCATATACGTCACCCCATATTCACATAACTTTTACCCGCCTTAAGAGACAATATTTTGGGGTACAATTTATCCATTTTCACCCCTTTTTTCTGGTTCTCCAAAAAGTTAACTTAGACTTTTTCTGACTCTGGAGGAATGTAACGGGAGTTGTCAGGGGACTATATCCGCCTTAAGAGACACTATTTTGGGATACATTTTATCCATTTTCACCCTTTTCTCTGGTTCTACCAAAAGTTAACTTAGACTTTTTCTGACTCTGGAGGAATGTACATGGAGAAGGACTTTCGGGCGGCACCAAAGTTGTTCTGGAAAACTGTCCGACACCTCAGGAGTGGTAAGCAGGGAACCATCCAAGCTGTGTACAGTAAGGATGGGATGTTGTTGACCTCAACTGATGGAGTGTTAGGGCGTTGGAAGGAACACTTTGAGGAACTCCTGAACCAGACAACTCCGCCCTCTATGTTAGAGGCAGAGCTCGAGTATGACGGGGGATCAACACCAATCTCCCGGGGGGAGGTCACTGAGGTCGTCAAACAACTCCACAGTGGCAAAGCCCCAGGGGTGGATGAGATCCGCCCGGAAATACTGAAGGCTCTGGGTGTTGAGGGACTGTCATGGTTGACACGTCTCATCAACGTTGCGTGGAAGTCGGAAACTGTACCGAAGGAGTGGCAGACCGTGGTGGTGGTTCCCCTTTTCAAAAAGGGGGATCAGAGGGTGTGTGCCAATTACAGAGGCATCACACTACTCAGCCCCCCCCGGGAAAGTTTACTCTAAGGTACTCGAAAGGAGGGTCAGGCCGACTGTCGAACCTCAGATTGAGGAGGAACAATGCGGATTCCGTCCTGGTCGTGGAACGACGGATCAGCTTTTTACTCTCGCAAGGATCCTGGAGGGGGCCTGGGAGTACGCTTATCCGGTCTACATGTGTTTTATAGACTTGGAGAAGGCGTATGACCGAGTTCCCAGGGAGTTACTGTGGGAGGTGCTGCGGGAGTATGGGGTGAGGGGGTCTCTACTCAGGGTCATCCAATCTCTGTACTCCCAAAGCGAGAGCTGTGTCCGGGTCCTCGGCAGTAAGTCGGACCCATTTCCGGTGAGGGTTGGCCTCCGCCAGGGCTGCGCTTTGTCACCAATCCTGTTTGTAATATACATGGATCGGATTTCGAGGCGTAGTCATGGGGGAGGGGGTCTGCAGTTCGGTGGACTGAGGATTGCACCACTGCTTTTTGCAGATGATGTGGTTCTAATGGCTTCATCGGTCTGCGACCTTCAGCACTCACTGGATCGGTTCGCAACCAAGTGTGAAGCGGCTGGGAGGAGGATCAGCACCTCCAAATCTGAGGCCATGGTTCTCAGCAGGAAACCGATGGACTGTCCACTTCAAGTAGGGAATGAGTCCTTACCCCAAGTGAAGGAGTTCAAGTATCTCGGGGTCTTGTTCTCGAGTGAGGGAACAATGGAGTGTGAGATGGGCCGGAGAATCGGAGCAGCGGGAGCGGTACTGTAGTCGCTTTACCGCACCATTGTGACGAAAAGGGAGCTGAGCCAGAAGGCAAAGCTCTCTGTCTACCGGGCCATTTTCGTTCCTACCCTCACCTATGGTCATGAAGGATGGGTCATGACCGAAAGAACGAGATCGCGGATACAAGCGGCCGAGATGTGTTTTCTCCGCAGGGTGGCTGGTGTCTCCCTTAGGGATAAGGTGAGAAGTTCGGTTATCAGGGAGGGACTCGGAGTTGAGCCGCTCCTCCTTCGCGTCGAAAGGAGCCAGTTGAGGTGGTTCGGGCACCTAGTTAGGATGCCACCTGGGCGCCTCCCTAGGGAGGTGTTCCAGGCACGTCCAGCTGGGAAGAGACCAAGGGGTAGACCTAGGACCAGTTGGAGGGATTATATCTCTTCGCTGGCCTGGGAGCGCCTTGGGATCCCCCAGTCAGAGCTGGTTGATGTCGCCAGGGAAAAGAAAGTTTGGGGCTCTCTACTGGAACTGCTACCCCCGCGACCCGACCACGGATAAGCGGGAAAAGATGAATGGATGGATGGATGGAGGAATGTAACGGGAGTTGTCAGGGGACTATATCCGCTTTAAGAGACACTATTTTGGGAAACATTTTGTCCATTTTGACCCTTTTCTCTGGTTCTTCCAAAAGTTAACTTAGACTTTTTCTGACCCATGTGCATTACCCTGGATCTCTGCCTATGTTCACATCACTTTTACCCAGCTTTCACACACTTATTGCTGGGTAATTAAACCAGTTTAATGCACTTTTTAACACTGACATCAAGCTTCTTAGGGTGGGAGAGCGAGGTGCTGGAAGGAGCTCTCTGGGTCACAGCCTGCTGCTGCTGCTGCTGCTGCTGCTCTCTCTCTCTCCCCCTGTATTCACATAACTTTTACCCAGCTTTCACACACTCATTCTTGGGTAAGAAAGCCTGGATCTCTGCCTGTGAGTGTGGGACCCTGCTTACAGCAGTGACTCTGCTGTACATTTCATGAGTCAAATGTGGATGAAATGGACAGGTTTCAAGCTTCTTTCCTGGGTTACATAGTGCTGTGAAGCAGCCTGTCCTCTGGGTGGGAGAGCGAGGTGCTGGAAGGAGCTCTCTGGGTCTCTGCTCTCTCCCCCTGTATTCACATAACTTTTACCCAGCTTTCACACACTCATTCCTGGGTAAGAAAGCCATGTGCATCACCCTGGATCTCTGCCTGTGAGTGTGGGACCCTGCTTACAGTCCGTCGTTTGGGGCTCTGTCACTTTGGGTAACCGCACCACTGTCAGACGTCTCCTGAGAATGGACGTCCATTCTCTCTAAATAGGGTTAGGGTGTCTAGTGATGATGGCCGAAACACTCAATGATCCCGAGGTCCACTACTGATGATGTGTCAAATACAATTATATAACACATTTAAATATTAACAATTTAAAAAAACTAAATGTATCAAATAAATATAACTGATAAAAGGGAGGCGTGTGGTGCAGTGGATTGAGCGTTGGTGTTCAGGTTCAAACCCCACTGCAGTCAGCATGTTGTTGAGTCCCTGAGACACTTCACCCCAAATTGAGTATTTAAGTCGCTTTGGATAAAAGTGTCTAACAAGTGACATGTAATGTAATAAAATGGACACAATAAAATAAATATAAAATGACTAGTTTGGTTCCCATATTTTCCAATCTTGAAGTCAAACATCACTATGACTGGACGGACCTTACTAGCGTTTTTTGTATTATTCCTCCTCACCTATATACCCGACAAAAAGAGATAAGACAACAAGAAAATATTTTTAAAAAGGAAAGAAAAGTACCTTATTCAACATCTTTTTCCACTTCTTACCCCTGCTTTTTACCTTAAACCCCTTATCCCTCACCCCCCGTTTCCCTCTCCTGGTCTATGGCCTCGTAGAGGGTAATGGGGTACAGAGAAGCCTAGACCGGCAGGGGAGTGCATTTACGTAGAAACGTTGTGCCTCTTCACCTCTGTCCACTACATCTATCTCTTAGGGTCAAAGTTGAGATGGCTAGGGATTACTTTGACCGAGATGCGCCGGCCCGTGCCTTGCCTTGGACTTCTGTATAACTGCTCGGGTCTTGATGGACTGAGTGGGGAAGTCCATGAGGTATATTATAAACAGCCTGTCCTCCTACAAAAAACGACCAAATAGGTCGATTGTTTACGCACCTTAGATTACGACCCATAGCCACGTTTTAAAGTGTAGCACCTCTAGTGGTCGTGTAAGAAACAACATGCTCCCGTTTATTCACAAATAACCCTCTCTGGAAAATCCTAAATTGTGGAATAGTTTGGCCATTAAAACGGTTTTATTATGAAAACTTTGAGACCGGAAAAACTGTTTTCACCCACGCTAACTTTACATGGAAGCTGCCTGTTATCCTGGCGAGACCTCAAATCATCTTCGTAATATCTATCAAACTATAGATCCTACACATCGACTGGACGTGGATTCTAAAAGTACAATATACACTTCTCGCTAGAAATCTAATATTCCCCTCACTGTCAAATGATTACACAGTGATATCTGCATTACTCATCCACTAAAAAACATGAGTTTGTCCTTGTTAATTACACAAAATTGAATGGTTTAAATTGTGTACAATGCTTTAGTGTTTTTAACCTTTGATTCAGAGAAACAAATAGTTTTTTAGGAGTTTAGACACTCCCCCCCAGAACTACACATGCTGGCTATTGTGTGTTTCGCAACATTATATGGCACGTCTCTTTATAAGACGTTTTCGTATTTCCCACAATTAGAAGTTGCCAGTATTCAACTGTGTACACCCTGGAGGTTTAGGGGATACGAAACACAGTGGTGTTATCAAATTTAAAACATATAATTAATAAAGGGTGACATAATATACCCACATGACACCTAAGGTCAGAAGAGCTTTATTTAACAGCTGGTCTTATGTCTGTGACCCCTCCTGTTGTTCATTGATAAGCCTGAAACATGCACTTGTCAAGGTTCAGAGGCACATTTTGCAAATATGGCAGTATCCATCGATCATCATAAGATAAGATATACTTTATTGATCCCAAGTTGGGAAATGTTTTTGTTACAGCAGCATACTACTTTGTTCTACTCCACTACAATTCAGAGGTTAACCTGGTATTTTTACTCCACTACATTTATTTGAGTTACTTTGCAGATTCTGATTAATGATGTGAAATATAAACAACCCTTAAATCAGACTTTAGTTACACCTGAGTCAAATTCAGGGAAGGTGATTGTCAAGTGCCAACATAAACTATGCAATATATTGGACATTAAGTACTTTGTCAGACTTCATATTTATCTGTGGATAACCCCAACGTTTTTTTCTTTTCAAAAGAAGACCTTAACTTAAAGTAATCTTTAATGTTTGAATAAAGCCTTATCAGTTGGTCTGTTTTGCATCCTCCTGTTAATATCTTTGGACGTCCTGCACTCAACTGTTTTATTGTAGAGATCACTACAGTGTCTTCTTGATCTTTTCAATTGTGTATGTAGGCTACTCTTAATATTTAAATGTTTTCATCAAATAAAACGTATTCAACAACAACATTCAATAGCGTGCTTTAACCACTAGGCGGCGTGGGTTAAAAAACCAGTGGTGTAGTTAATAAAACATAATAATATCAAACATAATATGACTATTAACTTTATTGTGAAATGAAAACAGAACGGTAAAGGAAAACACAGTTTCAGTCTCTCGATTTGAAGCTTATGCATTGTACCATGAACCTGTATAGACCTGTAACAGTCAACTGCATGAGGAGTTGGAAAGGTAATTAATGAAATAATTAATTAACATGTCGAACTCTGACTTCATTTTAAGGACATTTCGGCCAGGGGTGTAGAGCTATATTTGTTTAACCACCGGATTGGCAAAACAGGAGAGTGTGCACCAGTCTGCCTTGATCTATGTATTCATGTCTGTGACTCTCACAGTATCTGCTGCCCACAGCTGCTTTATGGAAGGAACACCTCCTTCACTTCATGAAATCTCTGCAGCGCCAGGAGGCAGCGGGAGGGTTCACTCAGCCTCTGAGAAGAGGAGCGCGCAGTGCCTTTCACGCACCGCCTTCCCTGTGTTTACCTTCAGAATCATTAGAAAGGCTAAGAGCGACTGCAGGCTGATGTGTTTTAACCACACATACCTCTACACACACACACACACAATTTAAACGCAGACTTCTGTTCCTCTGTTTCGTTATCGTTTCACTGAGCGGACCCGCCCCTTTGTTTTTCTCCAAATGCTCCCTTTTTTGGTCCATCTGCGGCGGTCATAGGTTTTGTGCGCTGTGATGATTCGGCTGTACCTTTAGTAATGAATATTAAATGTTCATTTGATCATTGGTTTTATTATGAAAACGTAGAGACCGGAAATACTGTTTTCAACCCGTAACTTTACATGGAGGCTGCCGCATACCTCAAATCATCTTCCTAATATCTATGGAACTATAGATCCTACATATCGACTGGACGTGGATTCTAAAAGTACAATATACACTTCTCGCTAGAAATCTAATCAAAAAGCATTTTAATGCCCAAACTATCCTACAATTTAGGATTTTACAGAGAGGGTTATTTGTGAATAAACGACCATCTGTAACGTTTGCATTCAACGGGAGCAGGACGTATTAAGCGCTTGAACAAACGACATATTTGGTCGTAATAATTGGGCCTGAACAATCGGCATATTTGGTCATATGAGTTGGAGGACTTGTTTATAAACCCTAACCCATGTCTTCCAGGTCTTATGAGGCTGTCGCACAACAGAGAGCGTCACAGGGCCAGGCCTTGAGGTCGCACAGAGATTACAGCTCCCATAACCTACACACACACATACACATACAAACACACAGTCAGGTCACTGCAGCGTTACCCTGACAACAGCTCTATTAGTCATAGCTCCGCCCTTTACGACCTTCTACTTCCTGCCATTCTTTATCCAATTCCTCCAGGAAGCATCTGTGATGCTGTGACAACAATTATCCTCCCCTGTGTGTGTGTGTGTGTGTGTGTGTGTGTGTGTGTGTGTGTGTGGCAGGCAGGCAGCTTCATTCAGCACCCTCTTCCTGTCACATCAAAACAAAGTGCATTAATTAAAACATTAAATGTTTTCACGTCTCCAACTTTACAGTAATCTTCTGTGTTTATGTGAAACGGGTGACCTAACTACCTGTCCCTCCAGCTCTCAGCCAATCATAGCGCAGTATTTCTGAATAAACTGTGGAGATCAGACCAAACAGGAAGTGTGTTCAGTCTTGATACAGATTCTGCTTCCTTCAGAGACTGAACACACTTCCTGTTTGGGGGGACGCTACTGTGGAGAAACTGACAAAAGAAGAGGGAGGAGGAAGTGGAGGGTGAGAAGGAGGAGGAGGTGAGGAAAGCTGCAGAAGAAGGAGTGTGAGAAACTTCTCTATACTAAAAGAGAACCAGGAACCACAGGAGAGGAACCAGAAGAGAGGAACCACATACGGTACGGTAAGTGTTTTAAAGATAAATATAATTATAGAGATACAGATTCTGCAGACAGGAAGCTCCTCTTCCTCCTCTTCCTCCTCCTCCTGTCTCTACTGGTTATACTAACTACTATTGGTTAGTCTGTGTTCAATTCATATGAAATACTTTCATAAATATACCTTAAATCACATTTACTTCTTCACATATATGAATAATACCGATGAATATTCTGGAATAAATCCGGTATTTGTTCAGAAACAGGGTTTGTCCGAGAGAGGCGGAGCAAACAAGAGAGAGGATAAAAATAAGGACGTGCTGATGTTCAGGTGTATATCAGTATGTAGTGTCTCTACTTTAAAGAGTCCTCTCCTGCTGATGTTCAGGTGTATATCAGTATGTAGTGTCTCTACTTTAAAGAGTCCTCTCCTGGTGATGTTCAGGTGTATATCAGTATGTAGTGTCTCTACTTTAAAGAGTCCTCTCCTGCTGATGTTCAGGTGTATATCAGTATGTAGTGTCTCTACTTTAAAGAGTCCTCTCCTGCTGATGTTCAGGTGTATATCAGTATGTAGTGTCTCTACTTTAAAGAGTCCTCTCCTGCTGATGTTCAGGTGTATATCAGTATGTAGTGTCTCTACATTAAAGAGTCCTCTCCTGCTGATGTTCAGGTGTATATCAGTATGTAGTGTCTCTACTTTAAAGAGTCCTCTCCTGGTGATGTTCAGGTGTATATCAGTATGTAGTGTCTCTACTTTAAAGAGTCCTCTCCTGCTGATGTTCAGGTGTATATCAGTATGTAGTGTCTCTACTTTAAAGAGTCCTCTCCTGCTGATGTTCAGGTGTATATCAGTATGTAGTGTCTCTACTTTAAAGAGTCCTCTCCTGCTGATGTTCAGGTGTATATCAGTATGTAGTGTCTCTACATTAAAGAGTCCTCTCCTGCTGATGTTCAGGTGTATATCAGTATGTAGTGTCTCTACTTTAAAGAGTCCTCTCCTGATGTTCAGGTGTATATCAGTATGTAGTGTCTCTACTTTAAAGAGTCCTCTCCTGCTGATGTTCAGGTGTATATCAGTATGTAGTGTCTCTACTTTAAAGAGTCCTCTCCTGCTGATGTTCAGGTGTATATCAGTATGTAGTGTCTCTACTTTAAAGAGTCCTCTCCTGATGTTCAGGTATATATCAGTATGTAGTGTCTCTACTTTAAAGAGTCCTCTCCTGCTGATGTTCAGGTGTATATCAGTATGTAGTGTCTCTACTTTGAAGAGTCCTCTCCTGCTGATGTTCAGGTGTATATCAGTATGTAGTATCTCTACTTTAAAGAGTTCTCTCCTGCTGATGTTCAGGTGTATATCAGTATGTAGTGTCTCTACTTTAAAGAGTCCTCTCCTGCTGATGTTCAGGTGTGTATCAGTATGTAGTGTCTCTACTTTAAAGAGTCCTCTCCTGCTGATGTTCAGGTGTATATCAGTATGTAGTGTCTCTACTTTAAAGAGTCCTCTTCTGCTGATGTTCAGGTGTATATCAGTGTGTAGTGTCTCTACTTTAAAGAGTCCTCTCCTGCTGATGTTCAGGTGTATATCAGTATGTAGTGTCTCTACTTTAAAGAGTCCTCTCCTGCTGATGTTCAGGTGTATATCAGTATGTAGTGTCTCTACTTTAAAGAGTCCTCTCCTGCTGATGTTCAGGTGTATATCAGTATGTAGTGTCTCTACTTTAAAGAGTCCTCTCCTGCTGATGTTCAGGTGTATATCAGTGTGTAGTGTCTCTACTTTAAAGAGTCCTCTCCTGCTGATGTTCAGCTGTATATCAGTATGTAGTGTCTCTACTTTAAAGAGTCCTCTCCTGCTGATGTTCAGGTGTAATGAGGGAAGTACCATCATGTAATAACCCTCTCTAACACTGGTCAGCTGATAGTAAATGTATATACCTGTAGATATAATATCAGTATAATAACTTTATAAAGATGTAGTAACTGTTCACTTTGTCTGCTCCAGTAAAGGCTGCTGTATCAACATGTAATAAATAATAATCAAAAATGAATATTAATCAAATGTATTTGGTTGTATTTGTTTTGATGGATAAAGTTTTAATCAGACCCTGATATCTCTCATCAGGATCAGATGAAGATGATGTGGTTCTGGTTCTGTTGGGTTCTGGGCCCCGTGGTCTTGTCCTCCCCATCCCTGTTCTCACTGCATCCCTCCCCCGCCATCTTCTCGGTGGCAGAGGCCGCCTGCCCCCCCGGCAGACTTGCCTCCCTGTCCTCGGACCAGGAGGTCTCTGCGGTGCTGGATCTGGTCTCAGGGTCAAACGGGTCCGTGTTCTGGGTCGGGCTACGGAAGGTGAAGGATGCCTGTGTGGATCCAGGTCTGCCTCTGAGGGGGTTCAGCTGGACCGGGGGGGGCAGCTGGGCCCCGCAGGTGATCCGCTGGGCCCAGGAGCCCCAGGAGACCTGCACCACCTTACGCTGCGCCGCCATCAGGCTGAACCAGACCGGGACCAGCGGGACCAGCTGGGGCCTGATTCCCGTCAGCTGCAGGAGCAAAAACCCCTACATCTGTAAAGGCCGGGGGACGTGGGTGGCACCAGAACCCGGACCTGAACCAGGACCAGAAGCAGAAGCAGAAACAGGACTAGGACCTGACACAGAGCCAGGATCTGAAGCTGAACCAGAACCAGAAAAAAGACCAGAACCAGAACCAAACCAAGAACCGGAACCAGAGCCTGCACTAGCACCAGAAACAAAACCTACACCACAAAAAGAATCAGCTGCACCAGAGCCTTCAGAAAATGAACAACCTCAACCATCAAAACCTGATACACCACAACCTACACCTGCAAACCAAGACCCAGAACTGGACCTGAAGCCTAAGTTTGGACCAGAACCAGACCTGAAGCCTGACTATGGAACAGAACCGGACCTGAAGCCTGACTCTGCAACAGAACCGGACCCTTGTCCATGGCCTCAGATCACGGGGACCCGCTCCCTCCGCGAGGACAACAGGACCCGGGTTCTCGTGGTGTGCTGGTCTGGTCTGCAGCTGGACCTGGTCTGCTCGGGCCACCCCCCCGCCTGGCGCCTGACGGACGGATCTGTGGCCAACCAGAGCGCCGCCTGCCAGCTCTGTGAGCCGGGCTTCATCAGAACCGGGTCCGGAGACTGTGAGGACATCGACGAGTGCAGCGCTGGGGCCAGGCCCTGCAGAACCTCCTGCCTCAACACACCAGGGTCTTACAGGTCAGAGGTCACCCACTAAAGCTAACACTACTCTAATGCTACGCTAACGCTAGTCACTTTGTGTAGCAAACGAAGGTCGGTTTTCAGAAAATATTTTGAGAATTTAAACAAAGCTAAATTGGAATTTAGCATTATTAACAGTGAGATTTATTGGAGATAAGAGTCTTGTTGTGAAGATGCTCTGCTACGAGGAGCTACGAGAAGAACCAGAACATATGAGCCTGTAGACTAAAGCTCATGTTTAGAATAACCCTCACTGACGGAAGACAAAGGTCCAAATTCAGAGAAAAACCTGAATTTTGGAAAAATATCAGAATTTTTAACCCCGAGCCTGTTTTTCAGGTCTCGGGCTCGAAAATTACATTCGCAGAACAAATTACCGTATCTTCACTTCTAAAAGTGGTAAATTAATAATCTTTTTTCTCAAAGCAAGGTTACACCTGTGAGTTGGGTGTAGAAGATGTTTTTATTTTAAGGTAAATTCAGATTGAACACAGTAAAAAAAACATTACTTATAGTGAAAACCACCCTTGAATGATGGGATAGAAGACTAAAAGCTTTAGGAATCTAAACTATAACATATAATAAGTACCCTGTATCAAGATTGATGCAAAACAAGTGAAATTTGACCTTTTTAGAGAGATTTAGCAACAAAAAAACACTTCTAGGGTCATTTGCGTGGATTTTCCATATCTTTGGCCCCCCTTGGTCGACTTTGATGATTGACATCTCTTTTTAACTGCTAGAGCCAATGGAATTGAGGGGAGGTTCCACATACACACACACATTACCAAATAAGGAGTGAGAGTGACGAGTGGTAAAAACCGGAAGCTCTCTGGTGGCTACCATTAGCAGCTAAAAATTTAATTATGGATTTTAATAATTTGTTCAAAGTGACAGACACATTGGATTAACCTATGGATGAACCCTCAGCAGCGTTTTTATCGTTGTAATGCCATTGAACACAACTTTTGATCAGAATAACAGCTAAGGTGAGACGATCTCCCGTGTTTGCTCCGTAATGCTACGTGTTGTGATGTCTGTGCTTGCTTCCTCTGTCGCGAGTTCTGATCGCTCAGTGATGATACTAATACCTATATAATCTGTGGATATCTCAGCTTTAATCGGATATCTTGTATGTGCAGTTACGATAAGTAATAAGGGTATCTTTACCTTGAGTTCTGTGCCAAATGCGTTAGCATTTTTCCGCTCAGGGGTCATTTAGACGCTTCTTATGAGACTTGTGTTTTGTTTTGGTAAAAATGGTTCGTATTGTCAGTTAGCTGAGTTTCTTCCCGTTAATCTGGTTTGACACATTAATAGGTTTTGAAATATTAAGAAGCCCTGAGACACAGTTTCGTGAAACAAAAAACCTGCAGCCCCCTCCACCGGGGGCTCTCGGGCTAAACAGGTTAAGAAAGAAATGTAATAAAACCCCCAACCATATAACACCTGCAGGTGTTTCTCATGTTTGTGTCAGACTGTATTAATACGTATTTACCTCTCTGCCGCCCCCTGCAGGTGTTTCTCATGTTTTCATTGACAGACTGTATTAATACGTATTTACCTCTCTGCCGCCCCCTGCAGGTGTTTCTCATGTTTTCATTGACAGACTGTATTAATACGTATTTACCACTCTAACGCCCCCTGCAGGTGTTTCTCATGTTTTCATTGACAGACTGTATTAATACGTATTTACCTCTCTGCCGCCCCCTGCAGGTGTTTCTCATGTTTTCATTGACAGACTGTATTAATACGTATTTACCTCTCTGCCGCCCCCTGCAGGTGTTTCTCATGTTTTCATTGACAGACTGTATTAATACGTATTTACCTCTCTGCCGCCCCCTGCAGGTGTTTCTCATGTTTTCATTGACAGACTGTATTAATACGTATTTACCTCTCTGCCGCCCCCTGCAGGTGTTTCTCATGTTTTCATTGTCAGATTGTATTAATACGTATTTACCTCTCTGACGCCCCCTGCAGGTGTTTCTCATGTTTTCATTGTCAGATTGTATTAATACCATAGACTGTATATATAAATGGACGTAGGGTCCGTGACGTCACCCATAGGATTCTGCAGAGTTGCAGAGACGCCCTTAGTAGGCGGAGTCGGCCACTAACGGCTCGACAGTGACGCCAGAGTTCAACTCCCGCCTTCTCCAGCCTGCTCCAAATAAGGGCAAAGAGGCGGAGCCTGCTGCCACCGAGCTGGAAGTTCCAGAGCTAGCCGAAGCTACCAAGCTAAGCTAACATGCTCCCCATCTGCACGCTGCCGTCGCATTTTACGTTTCTAAGGTAAGCGGACATGAAACTATTCAGCAAAACTATAAATAATAATCTAAGTTATTGAGCTTTTAGCATAATACTTCAGAATCTTAAAACCCCTTAACGTTTGTATGCAATTGTGCTAAATTCAACACTGGAATCAAGCAAATATGAATATGTTTGCATGACATTAGTTATTTATATTTTGATATCACTTAACTATACGTTTAATACATTTAAGTCAAGCTAAGGTACATGTGATGGTAGCTAGTTAGCGCTCTTACCTGTGAGGCCTCCTCCAAACAGCATAATAACCAGACTGTATCATTAAAACTAAGTACCAGTTCTAGATCCTTGACTTTAGACAAACAATTCAAAAGACAACATGTATTTAAAGACCAATCTTTATTTGAATGTGCCTCTTAACCTGAGATATTAGTTATACAGTAATAGTATTGACAATCTAAAAAAACTGAGCAACTCAACAGTCAACTTTATGTTTCTTATTGTCTAAAGCATTTATTATTTTCATTTTCCCAATCTCATATTCAGTGTGGACGGATTGAGACAGCATGGTGTCCAGAGAGCTGCAGAGACTTCAGGGAGAAACCTCCGTGTGATGGATGTCCTGTCTGTTGGTTTGGAGAGGACTGAGGGTCTTTCCTCTGCGAGGAGGACCAGGCCTGATGAAGGAGCCCATGCTGGGCAAAGCTGATACCAACTGCACAGGCCTAGTCGGTCACTTTATTTGACTAAATGTGTTTAATACATTTAATAGGTTTACACCTTCTGTCCATATGTGCTTTATATTTAAAACATTTGATTAACTTTTGGTTCACATTTCAATAAATTCTATTTGTATTTGCACTCCTTTTGTCCATTATTCTTACTGAAAATGTTAGATTACACATTCACATCTGACTGAAGATTGGCCCCATTTATTTGTGACGTTGCAAAACAAGGTACATGTTGTGAAGCTCATAAAGTGAGGCAAATAGAAATAATCAGGTGATGGAGTGTAGATGTGGAAATAGCTGCATTTGATCAGCTGACTGTTTTTACAATAAAAGTAGTTTCTTAGTGAATGTCCTGTACTGGTCTTAAAATCTCATAACATCAGCTTTTAATGTTCCTCTTGGATGTTCTTCTTGACCCTCAGAGAAGGAGAGCATGTCGTGTCTTTCAGGCATGTCCTTTCCTAACAAAAATGACAGGAAACATAAAACATATTATTACAGAACAAGTGTGTTATTTATGAAAGCGGTGTGTTTGTGTGTTTAGGGGCTGTAGATATCATTATTTTGTAATTGTAATGTTTTTTTTTATTTCAACAATGAGCTACAAAGACAATCAGATTATGAATGAACAGTATGAAGTTCATCATTGAAATATATGTTATTATCAAAATAGTATTTAACTGTTATCAAAACGTAGTGCAACTGTAGAAGCTTGCTCTGTTGTCTCACTGAAAGAATAACTTTTACGACGTTTTTTACAGACAATATTGAGAGATAAATAGCAGCAGTTCTCACTGTGTTAAATATCTTTGCCTTCAATACATTAAATTAGAAAGCTGACAAAGTCATATTGCTAAATATCTAAATGTAACTTTTTGCATGGAAAAAACCCTCAACTTCACTGATGTGTAGGTGATCTAGTATTTAGTATTGTTTAATGGAATGTATATCAGTGTATTCAAGTCAATACTTCATTCATTTAAACCAATATCTTTCTTGATTCTTTGTACAGTATGAAAAAAGAGTCTTTGCACCTGTGCTGAAGTTCACTGCTGTGAGGAGTCCAGTTCTGTCTCTCACTCTCTGGTCCAGCCTGTCTGCATCACCTGGACACCTTAAACAAACAGATATATATGTAAAGAACCATGTGTACAAACAATATAACTGATTCTCTTCTGTTGAACATGTTGGATTGTGTATTGTCCGAGTCAGGGGCCTTTTTATTTTACTGTAACTTTGGAAGTTGTGTTACCAATGCTTACTGTTTATTTGATACCCATTTGGTAATGCAATTAATAAAAACAAGGTTTGGGTTCGTTCTTCAGATGACTGTGACGTTAACGTGTAAGCTCGATAATGAACTCCAGCTCAACCAACCATATTGTAATATCTAAGTAATCATCTTGAAATATGACATTAATAATTGTAATATACACACATCTTATTGTGAGGTTGATTTCACATACACTACTTCGACATTAGCTTGTCTACATACTTGAGCATAGCCAATTTAAATTAACCTTAGATGCATACAGTTCTACCTACATAATAAAATATCTCTAAGTTACAAGGATGTAACCTTATTTTATCAACCTCAAACAGAAGCCGTTTGTTCAACAGTATTATCCCACTTAACACTTGTCTATTTAGTTTTAACCTTTATATATACAGTCTATGATTTTAACTTGGAGGCTACGATTACAATCGTTAGCACCGATGTAGCTACCACTAGCTTACATGCTAACCCAAGCCTTACCATTCATTACGTGGCTGATTAAAATCATTAACACATAAATAAAGCACTAGAATTTCACTTACCGCAAAACCGCATTCATGCACCGTCTGTTTTAACCGCAGAGCGAGTCACAATAGTCCGATATATAAGCATGAAGAACAAACAACCACGGCCGGCTACAAGTTGTGTTTCCTGGATGAGCTGAGCAGGCAGAGTCCCTGTAGCTTCACGGAGCAGCTAGCAGAGAGACAAGAAGCTAACAGCGGCAGGCACTTCACAGAGCCGTCACTCAATGTGACCACGCCCTAATTTATGCACAAACTTTAAGACCTAATATAAATAAAAGGGTCGCATTAGAAAACAATTCACTCACAGATCCATAATCATGAAGGTGGAATCTAACTATATCGATAATAAAATGTATGGAGCCAGGGGTAGAAACATGTTTTTTTTCTGCTGTGAAGTTGGGCATTTTAACATGAGGGTCTATGGAAATTGCTCCTTTCTGCAGCCATCGCCTATCGGCCAATATATGAACTGCAGTGTGTGGCACTTCCGTATTGGCTTCCCGGCTCTACCCCACAGTTTGCCGCTTGATTAATACGTATTTACCTCTCTGCCGTCCCCTGCAGGTGTTTCTCAAGTTTTCATTGTCAGATTGTATTAATACGTATTTACCTCTCTGACGCCCCCTGCAGGTGTTTCTCATGTTTTCATTGTCAGATTGTATTAATACGTATTTACCTCTCTGACGCCCCCTGCAGGTGTTTCTCATTTGTTTTCATTGTCAGATTGTATTAATACGTATTTACCTCTCTGTCGCCCCCTGCAGGTGTTTCTCATGTTTTCATTGTCAGATTGTATTAATACGTATTTACCTCTCTGACGCCCCCTGCAGGTGTTTCTCATGTTTTCATTGTCAGATTGTATTAATACATATTTACCTCTCTGTCGCCCCCTGCAGGTGTTTCTCATGTTTTCATTGTCAGACTGTATTAATATGTATTTATCTCTTTGCCGCCCCCTGCAGGTGTTTCTCATGTTTTCATTGTCAGACTGTATTAATACGTATTTACCTCTTTGCCGCCCCCTGCAGGTGTTTCTCATGTTTTCATTGTCAGATTGTATTAATACGTATTTACCTCTCTGTCGCCCCCTGCAGGTGTTTCTGTATCGATGACGCTGGCGAGCGCCACGCCGAGGATTCGCCGGTTTGCGCTCCTACTCTTGGCTTACTGTTTCCACTGCTGGTTGCCATGGCAGCGCTGGTTGTGCTTATGGTGGTTGTCGCGGTGACGGTGGCGCTCTGCATGAGGAGGAAACGAGCCATGAAGAACAAAGAGGGCTATGAGCCGGCTAATGAGAAGGAAGCATCGTGAGGATCAGAGCTGTGATTGGTCCTGACTGCCAGTGACATCATGAGTGTGGGACAGGGGGTGGAATTCCACAGAAATAATGCTAAGTTGATGATTTTAAATTTGTACATTTACAAGAAGTAATTATATAAATATAAAACTTCAATATTCACTGAGATTACAAACTCACACAAAAAATACATATACATGAGACAAATGCTTATTTTTCTCCGAGGCTATCTAATAATGAATAAATAAAGGCAGTTCTGAAAATCAAAGTCAAGAACAAGAAAAAACTCACAAATTCAGAAAAAAAAACTCTATAATATTGAATAGTTTGTTTTCTGTCGCAGTGATCCAGGTAACAGGAAGTCAGGTGTGCGACTATAACCTGATTGGCTGCCCAAATTGGATTTAACTCAACCTGAAATATGTGTTATCAAGTTTATTACATATAACTTTGAATCATGATCTAAGTCATCTTTGATGAATATCCAGTGTAAATATATTTTTGAGGACACAAACTGTAATCCAGTTTAAATTCAGGGACATTAAGATAAATAAAATGCTGATGTTAAACTGCGTTATATTTCTGCTTCCGTATGTGTTTTAATCAGAAGTTATAAAAGTTAGATATTGTGTTTGAACTTTTTGATCAATAAAGATTTTTGCTGTTTTACGTAAACAAAGTTTCAGGAATGTTATTCTGAGATCAGGAGCTGACATCCTGTGAAAGTGTGTGGACCCCCCCCCCCCCTCTATTAGCATTCAGTGTGTTTTTGACAGGCGGGGACCCCCCCCCCCCCCCCCCCAGGAGAGGGGACCCCAACCCCCAGGTCAGATTACTCCAGCTAAAACTAAATAACTTACATTTTGCACACTTTATTGACATGTTATTTACAAAAACTATGACAACTTTCAAATCTATAAGTTCTCTTGTGGATACTGTAGTGATCTGGTGGATTCTGGGTACTGTAGTCCTCTGGTGGACTCTGGGTACTGTAGTCCTCTGGTGGACTCTGGATAGTGTAGAGCAGGGGTCGGCAACAGGCGGACTGCGGTCCGGATCTGGACCCAGACGCCGACCTATACGGACCCGGACCTATAATCAATACATTAATAGGAGATTTCAATTTTGACGGGGCGATTCTATTTTAACCGCCGCCGACAGGGGGCGAAAGAGACGAGAGAGCGATACAGGGAGAGAAACACAGAAGAAGAGAGGAGAGAGATACAGAGAGAGAAACACAGAAGAGAGGAGAGAGAGATACAGAGAGAGAAACACAGAAGAAGAGAGGAGAGAGAGATACAGAGAGAGAAACACAGAAGAAGAGAGGAGAGAGATACAGGGAGAGAAACACAGAAGAAGAGAGGAGAGAGAGATACAGAGAGAGAAACACAGAAGAAGAGAGGAGAGAGAGATACAGAGAGAGAAACACAGAAGAAGAGAGGAGAGAGAGATACAGAGAGAGAAACACAGAAGAAGAGAGGAGAGAGAGATACAGAGAGAGAAACACAGAAGAAGAGAGGAGAGAGAGATACAGAGAGAGAAACACAGAAGAAGAGAGAAGAGAGAGATACAGGGAGAGAAACACAGAAGAAGAGAGGAGAGAGAGATACAGGGAGAGAAACACAGAAGAAGAGAGGAGAGAGAGATACAGAGAGAGAAACACAGAAGAAGAGAGGAGAGAGAGATACAGAGAGAGAAACACAGAAGAAGAGAGGAGAGAGAGATACAGGGAGAGAAACACAGAAGAAGAGAGGAGAGATACAGAGAGAGAAACACAGAAGAAGAGAGGAGAGAGAGATACAGAGAGAGAAACACAGAAGAAGAGAGGAGAGAGAGATACAGAGAGAGAAACACAGAAGAAGAGAGGAGAGAGAGAAACAGAGAGAGAAACACAGAAGAAGAGAGGAGAGAGAGATACAGAGAGAGAAACACAGAAGAAGAGAGGAGAGAGAGATACAGAGAGAGAAACACAGAAGAAGAGAGGAGAGAGAGATACAGGGAGAGAAACACAGAAGAAGAGAGGAGAGAGAGAGATACAGGGAGAGAAACACAGAAGAAGAGAGGAGAGAGAGATACAGAGAGAGAAACACAGAAGAGAGGAGAGAGAGATACAGGGAGAGAAAACACAGAAGAAGAGAGGAGAGAGAGATACAGAGAGAGAAACACAGAAGAAGAGAGGAGAGAGAGATACAGGGAGAGAAACACAGAAGAGAGGAGAGAGAGAGATACAGAGAGAGAAACACAGAAGAAGAGAGGAGAGAGAGATACAGGGAGAGAAACACAGAAGAAGAGAGGAGAGAGAGATACAGGGAGAGAAACACAGAAGAAGAGAGGAGAGAGAGATACAGAGAGAGAAACACAGAAGAAGAGAGGAGAGAGATACAGAGAGAGAAACACAGAAGAAGAGAGGAGAGATATACAGAGAGAGAAACACAGAAGAGAGGAGAGAGAGATACAGGCAGAGAAACACAGAAGAAGAGAGGAGAGAGAGATACAGAGAGACAAACACAGAAGAAGAGAGGAGAGAGAGATACAGAGAGAGAAACACAGAAGAAGAGAGGAGAGAGAGATACAGAGAGACAAACACAGAAGAAGAGAGGAGAGAGAGATACAGAGAGACAAACACAGAAGAAGAGAGGAGAGAGATACAGGGAGAGAAACACAGAAGAAGAGAGGAGAGAGAGAGATACAGAGAGAGAAACACAGAAGAAGAAGAGAGGAGAGAGAGATACAGGGAGAGAAACACAGAAGAAGAGAGGAGAGAGAGATACAGAGAGAGAAACACAGAAGAAGAGAGGAGAGAGAGATACAGAGAGAGAAACACAGAAGAAGAGAGGAGAGAGAGATACAGAAGAAGAGAGGAGAGAGAGATACAGAGAGAAACACAGAAGAAGAGAGGAGAGAGATACATTACATTACATTGCATTTAGCTGACGCTTTTATCCAAAGCGACTTACAATAAGTACATTCGACCAGGAAGACACAACCTTGAAGAAAACAGAATCATAAAGTACATCAGGTTTCATAGAGCCAAACATTTCAAGTGCTACTCAACTGGCTTTAGATAAGCCAGTCCTTTATTAGTGCTTCGTTAATAGTTCTATCGCTCGAAGTGGAGTCGAAAGAGATGAGTTTTAAGTCTGCGCCGGAAGGTTTGTAAGCTATCTGCCGTCCTGATGTCATGGGGAGCTCATTCCACCATCTTGGAGCCAGGATAGCAAACCCACGTGTTTTTGCTGATGGGAACTTGGGTCCCCCTCGCAGCGAGGGCGCAGCGAGTCGTTTGGCTGATGCAGAGCGTAGTGCACGCGCTGGGGTGTACGGTTTGACCATGTCCTGGATGTACGAAGGGCCAGATCCATTCGCAGCATGGTAAGCAAGTACCAGTGTCTTGAAGTGGATTCTAGCAGTTACCGGAAGCCAGTGAAGGGAGCGGAGGAGCGGAGTGGTGTGGGAGAATTTAGGAAGGTTGAAGACCAGGCGAGCCGCTGCATTCTGGATGAGCTGCAGAGGTCGGATGGCACATGCAGGTAGACCAGCCAGGAGGGAGTTGCAGTAGTCTAGGCGTGAGATGACGAGAGCCTGGACCAGAACCTGCGTCGCTTTCTGGGTCAGCTGGGGACGTATCTTCCTGATGTTGTAAAGCGTGTATCTGCAGCAGCGGGTTGTAGCAGCTATGTTTGCAGTGAAGGACAGGTTGTTATCTAGGGTCACACCAAGATTCCTTGCAGTCTGAGTCGGGGAAACAACTGAGGTGCCGATGTTGATTGTTAGGTCAAGAGTGGGACAATCTTTTCCCGGAAGGAAGAGCAGCTCAGTCTTGTCAAGGTTGAGCTTGAGGTGATGAGCAGACATCCACTGAGAGATGTCAGCTAGACAAGCAGAGATGCGTGCGACGACCTGGGTCTCTGAGCGGGGAAAGGACTGAATTAATTGGGTGTCGTCAGCGTAGCAGTGGTATGAAAAAACATGCGGGCTAATGACTGATCCGAGTGAGTTTGTGTACAGGGAGAAGAGGAGGGGACCAAGAACAGAGCCCTGAGGGACCCCTGTAGTTAATTGACAAGGGTCGGACTCAGACCCTCTCCAAGTCACCCTGTAGGTACGGTCTTTCAGATATGAGGTGAGGAGGGAAAGTGCAGAGCCTGAAACTCCAAGTTTTTGGAGAGTGCGAAGGAGGATCTGATGATTCACCGTGTCGAATGCAGCAGACAGGTCCAACAGGATGATGACAGAGGAGAGGGATGCAGTTTTGGCAGTGTGCAGTTCCTCCGTGACAGCAATGAGAGCAGTTTCTGTGGAGTGACCTGCCTTGAAACCAGACTGGTGCGGATCCAGAAGGTTGTTCTGATTGAGATAACAGGAGAGTTGTTTAAAGACAGCACGTTCAAGTGAATTAGACAGGAACGGGAGGAGAGAGACAGGCCTGTAGTTTATAACATCAGACGGGTTGAGAGTGGGTTTCTTTAGGAGAGGGTTTACTCTTGCCTCCTTGAGACTGTTTGGAAAGTGACCAGAAGTTAGAGAAGTGTTGATGAAATGGGTGAGAAACGGTAGAATATCAGGAGCGATAGTCTGAAGGAGGTTTGAAGGGATAGGGTCCAGAGGACAGGTGGTAGGGCGGGCAGAGGTAATGAGGGTAAGAACCTCACTTGGAGAGAGAGGGGAAAAGGAGGTTAGTGTGTTGGTGGAAGGAGGTTCTGGTGACCCAGCGGTGAGTAGAGGTGAGTCAGAAAAACAAGAGCGAATATCATCAACCTTTTTTTCAAAGTGGGTAACAAAGTCGCTTGACAGAAGTGAGGAGGGGGGAGGGTCCAAGAGGGTGGAGAAGATGGAAAATAGTTTTTTTAGGATTGGAATAGGAAGATTGGATCTTATCTTGAAAGAAAGTGCTTTTTGCCTGAGAGATCGAAGCAGAGAAAGAGGAGAGGAGAGCCTGATAGGTTAGGAGGTCGTCACGGTGTTTGGATTTCCACCGTTTCCGCTCTGCTGCCCTTAGGACGGTTCTATTAGCACGCAGTGCGTCATTTAGCCAGGGAGCAGGAGGGGACTGACGAGCCTGCCGAGATGTGAGAGGACAGAGAGAGTCCAGAGTGGATGAGAGAGTAGAGAGGAGAGTTTCTGCAGCAGAGTTTGAAGGCAGGAGTTGGAACGAGTCAGAGGAAGGGAGGGCTGAGAGCACCGACGAGGCAAAGGTAGAGGGGGAGAGGGAACGAAGGTTACGGCGGACAAGTGCAGGATGAGAAGAGATTAGTTTGTTATGTTTGGAAAGGGGTAGAGAGAATGAAATGAAGAAGTGATCGGATGTGTGGAGCGGGTTTACAGAGAGGTTAGAAGTAGCGCAGTTCCTTGAGAATATGAGATCAAGGACATTGCCAGCTTTATGAGTCGGTGGGGATGGAGACAGTGAGAAAGCAAAGGCGGTTAACAGGGATGTTAGTTCGTCTATCTTCCCTGTCTGGAAGTTGAAGTCTCCGAGAAGTACAGCGGGAGGGCCAGTTTCAGGGATGTGTGAGAGGAGATTATCTAATTCCTCCAAGAAGTCCCCCAAGGCGCCTGGTGGACGGTAGAGAACAACAAGGGTTCATTGTATAGGATGGGTTACTGTGACGGCATGGAATTCAAAGGTGGAAGGAGTGAAGTTAGGTAGCTTGAAGAGGGAAAAGCTCCATTTGGGAG